TACATACATACATACATACATACATACATACATACATACATACATACATATACACACATAGGGACACACATTCAACCACAGAGATAACAGACATCGAGTGCACCAATATAACAATGGACACACTTACTGAATTCCATTTGGTTGTATTAAAAGATTACGGAGATAGAGATAAACCTTACGATGGGTACCATCTAAAGTAACTATCCGAAACTCTTTTATCACTAAGATGAGTTTTATTTTCATGCTCTCACTTGAGTGGAATGGCAGATCTACTATTTCGGACCTTGGTTCTGTTTATACCAGCGGTTATAGCTACACAGGTGAGCCCAGGAGCAGATAGAGCTAGATCAAAGGATTCGTCCCACTATTCAGCATTGGTATGTATTTACATGAGTTGTTCAGGAAACATAGGTTCTACCTGGTTCGATTGCTCGTGATATTTCAGCACAGCCATCGAGCACAGAGTCTTTGCGATTTTGTTCGCTTTGATCCTATCGAGCCGAACTTATTCATCCCCGGCGAAATTGGACCCGTCATCATGTTTTACAACGAGGTAGGTAACTGGAGACTGACAATTTCAGTTTTTCTCTAGGTACACAGCTATTCAGCCTCCTCAGTAGCTCAGCCTATCTAGTATTTCCACCTAGTTGGTGCGCCCGCCATTTTGTCAATACGTTAGTGCTTTTCCGTCTACTTCCATTGCGAGTAGGGAGATTAACGAGCCTGAAAATGGTCCATGTTTTCGTATAGTCGTGGAGGGTACGTTTTACCTTCTTGGACCAAGCGCACACTTCCCTGACCAGAGAAATCCGTAGCTTTGAAACGTTTCGTTCTTGAAGTGCTCTCGATGAGTGGCGGCTGCAGGCCATAAGGCCTTCTATGTGGTTGACGAGGTCTGGAGAGCAGGGTCTATACTTTTCTCCATACTTCGCCATCACCTGTACAGCCGTGAAGAAGGCATTATAGGTAGACATTCCTGGAATGAATCTGTACTGCTCCTTGGAAATCGGAACAATTTCTATCAATCTTTCGAATCGCCGCTCGTAAATTTTCATGACATGCGCATCAATCTAAGCTCACGGCAGGCGAATTAAACAGTAGTAACCATGCCTGCTCAGAAATGGGATCGGTAAAACGATTTTTCGCGAATTAGAGGCCCTTCCGTCAGCAGTTACAGTGTCCAGGAACCGCGAAGTCCTTTTGATCCTGTGCTCTCCAAGTGTTGTTTAGCCTCTTTAGAATCCCATCCAAACCACTTGCCTTCCCAAACCTCATCTAATTTATTATACGACGGTTCTAATCTTATTTCTTGGGCGAGTTGGGTCTGGACAGAGACTCTAACTGTGAACTAATTTTGCGGTAGAATTCTTCGTTCAGGAACAGATGGAATGTTCTTCCCATCCAGGCCTAAACACACTGTTTCTCGAAACTTTAATACATCATCGCTGTCTTCACAGCCCTCACTTCGCTGATGTGCCGAGCAGCCCGATGCCGTGCTTCGGTCACTGGAAGAAAATTCTTCCTCCTCTGTCGTGCAGCTTTTCTTACGAGAAATCCATTTCCTTATTACTTACCTTTGCTGCGGCAGTTTTGGCGAGCCTCTCTCAACTTTACTAGGATGGCTTTCCTAAAGCTTGCTCTCTTGTTCGCCTTTATAGACGGTTACCTCCTGCTTGACAGTTCGCTGGTCTTCATCGTTTCAGAACCACGCTTCCTTGTCTCCCCAGCAGTGCTGCCTCAGGTTTGCTAGACCTGGGAGACTTTCGAAGACCGGACTTTCGAGACCTGGAAGAGCAGATTTCAGTATTTTCCGCTTTAGATTTTCTATTCCAACGCTGTCATTTAGCGCTTCTCGTTTAGCAACCCAACTTTTACACCCCCGCTGGAACTAGCTCCATTGGCTGCTGTCATTCCTCGCATACTTCTTCCTCGGTGGAGAACTCAGGCTCAGATTTTGAGCCACATAAGAGTGACCTCGTAGCTTCACCACCAGTTAGCGGAACTAGAAAATCTGTCTAACAGACCTTGATGTGGGAGGCCTACTTTTGTGACACCGAGGCTAATATCACAAAGGTGTCTGATTTTTTTGAAACGAGCCCCTGCGTAGCTGAGCACGACACTGCCGGTGCGAAAATGGCAATGGAGATGTCGATTCTTAAGTAGATGATCAAGACTACAACGTATCGCCTGGGAAAGAGAGCATGAAGCAAGAAGTAGGGCCAGTTTTCTTTATGTGTGTCGAAAAGAAAGAGGAATGCTGTCATAAAATTCTTCGACGATTCTGTGGTGAACTGTCGAACAATCTTTTATTGGGGGAAATGATCGTGTCTTTGCTAGATCAAAGCCACGCATGGCGTCACTCATGCTCGTGATCCAAGATCTGTATGGCGCATCCTCAAGTCGAAGAAATGCGCAATACCTGACTCGCCTCCCACCGTGACTCACTTTCTTGAAAAAAGCCCTTCAGAGAACTTGGAGCGGGACGGACACCAACAGCTTCCTCGCAGGGTCGAGACGTTTCAAGAGTCTTTCCAAGCCTGTTCCCCAGTTGATGGAGAACTTTTCAGAGTAAAGTAGTGCTTCATGTTCCCATTCTTCAAAAAGTGAAATGATACGTGTTATCTGCTATGTACTTGAACCACAACTTCTTTTCGAGGCACTTATCTATTTCCATAATTCCGTCTAGCATCGTGAATACTTCTCGCGACTGAGTTCCTCCAACTCCAGCCCGGGCAAGGATTGGGTGGAGTGGATAATAGTGGATTCTTCTTCACTACATAGCATCATTTCTGAACGGCAATTGAGGTTATATTTTCAAGCCTTCGAGCAGCATGGGGTCAAAGAGTCACGGAAAACTGGCCATCTTTCAAAANGCGAGCTTCCCAAAATTTGAGTATCGAGTTCAACAGTACGGCGGAACCATTTTCGCTCTTAGTGTGCGGTAAAACTCGTGCATTTCTGAATTTGCAACCGTTTACTCCCTAATTTCTGGGTTCCAAACGGAGCTGTAGGAATATGCCTTGAAGCATATTATATGTAGTAGATGGCTAGTTTGTGCCCATATAAATGATGTGGTTGGCACATAGCTCGAGATGGGTCGCAAAATATCTCAAAGCATATGGATACGGATAAACTGACAAACATCGTTCCCAAAAGACACTCACTATTTTATCATGACTGGCCATGTTGGCCCTGATGATTTGGGGAATGCGGTCCTAGTCTACGACTTTCCAGTCCGAACCTCAGTCTGTGGATATGGTGTGCCTACTGAGTGAAATAGTGCCACATGCCTATCACACTCCCATTGAACTCCCACTCAAAGGCGGTATGGTATGCATGCAGCTACTTACGGTATGTAATCTAGTGATAATTCAACAGTTATAGAAAAAAATCGTTCCGGCATTGTTTAGCACCCATCAACTCCTGGAGAACTACATGTGCTGATTACCTCCCAGAGAGAGATAATGCCGTTTTGTGAGACGCAGGTTTTTGGCTCGTTGCCAACTCAGATTGAGGTCGGTTGAGGAATGCTTATCTATTACCTTATATTATCTATTACGTTATACTATCCATTATGTTATACTATCTTTATTACGACATCTATTATTACGCTGGAAGAGTCTTTCGCGTTCTGTTCTGCCCCCTCAACTCATTTATTTGGATGTCTTTCTTTCACTTACTAATCTGGCCTTGCATCATCATGTCTTCTCTCTTCCAAGACGGAGGTTCTCATTTCCTGCCGTACCTTACCACTGCTTGCTTTTTTCCCGATGCATCCCTTCTTCCGCTTCTCCTGTCTTTTTCGTCATCCTGCTCATCCTGTATCACTCATCATGTTTTTCTCTCTTTAGAGCCGAATTCTTTATCCATACGATGCTCTCTGGGAAGACAACTATTTCGATTCACTTCCATTCTCGCTGACTCGCTGCGTCTTTTCTATTCAGCCTTGCTTCTACGTATATTTCATTATTCACAGATTTCTATCGACTTTCAACCATCCTTCTCTTCTCTTGTACTCCATTTCCTTTCTCGCAACTACACGTCCAGTCCCTCCTGCTCCTTTCATGTCTTCTATGATTTTTAGAATGTGTTGATCATAAGCTACTTCCCCTGCTTTTTCTTGCTATGTTTTACCTTCATTTTCACTTTTCTTCGACCCACCAAGACTCTATCAACCTATTCGTCTCCTTACTTATTTATTTTTTCCTAATAGCTCCTCTCCAGTATTACTCCGCTCGTCAGCATGTTCCCAAACAGCGCCAGCGCAGCGTATTTCAGTGCCACGGTGTCTCACATCCTATATTCCATGAATGTGTCCCGATGGGTAAAATGATGTTCACAAGAGCTAATGCGTTCCTATTTAAACAATATGTTTCCCAATATATTTGTTAAGGTACGTCGAACAGTGCTCTCCGGTACTCACCGCAGTGATTTTTTCACGTTCAGTATTCTAGCGAACGGAGGACAGATGTTGTAAGTTACTTGCATTGATCTTACTTAAAGGCACAGTTCACGATTTGGAGTTGTTTCTGGGATTTCCCTATAGTATAAATCCGAGTCTTCCCCTTATGCCATACCTGTCGCTATAGGGGCGAAAAAAGTCCTGGATAGGGCACAATAAGTTACCAAGGATTGTATCGTGTGAATGCCACACCCATAGTGAACGAGTTTCAATGACTTTGTAGAGGCTGCATCATTCAGTCAAACAACTTGTCGTGTCCCATAGTGACGGTGAAAGGCAAGTCTGGACAGTTATGCTTCGATGTTGTCAGCTCTTTGCGCGATGGAAGCAAGTTAAATCTCGTCCAAAAACCCCTTACATACAATTCCTGTCACGGTGATCTCGTACAACCTCCTCTTCCACTACTTTTGAAAAGCTTGAAGTAGGTGGATTTTCTCGCTTCTTTCGCCATCAATGTGCTCCTCTATTTCAACACTTCCGATTTTCAACCTGAAAAGGTACCTCGAAATTATCGGGAGTTGTGCCTTTAACGGCATGAATGGATCGAGCGAAAAGAAAGCTATAAAATATAATATAATTTGTCAACGTCTGTGTTAGATCTATGCACAATATTATTAAACTAATTCCAAATCTGGGTCCAATTTCCCTGCTTGGAGGATGGCTTTATTATGTACGAAAGGCTCAGCAGCACAGCTACCAGCAATCAGCAAGCTGATAGGAACCTGCGGACGTTTTTATTTCAGACAGATTTTTTTGGACGGCTTTTTTCTGACGAAGTTTGTCAACTTTTGCAATAACTTTTAATAGCTTAGCTCAGCAAGATTGTGGCTTTATTATGTACGAAAAGTTACCTTGTTGCAGCAGATTCAACGTGACATACCTAACGAAACTTCCCTGATCCTGAAAGTCTGCACCTTCCCCCTGTAGAGTGCTTTTGATGTTTTGATAAGTATGGTTTTGACAAGAAGAAAATGAAACCCTATTGGAAGTAATTCTTCGTATTAAGTATATTGCATAGATTCTGATGACTCCTTGAACATTAGATTCTAGCTGGTCTAGGTTTTGGAAAGAGGGTGCTTTGTCAAACCTTTTGAGTCGTGTTAACGTCTGTGTCAAATACCGTTGGAAAACCGGGGATCTCCTCCACTGAGGCTTCTTCTCATTACAAGATCTCTAACCGGTTTCTGCTACTGCTACGAGGCGCCACCTCAGGTGCTGGATATGAAAGCAAATCGCGAACCAGAAGTCACTGGTGCTTGTCAAAGGTGCGTGTAGATTCAGGAATCGGACTCTCCCTATCTTCTGCGGTTGGTCGATTTGCACCTTTCGTCTGCTGTATCCAGGCATACGTACATATGTGGAGTGTAGGCAGGTACGACATCCTGCAAGTGGGCTCAGCCAGAAGCTTGCATTTGAAAAGTTATCTGGGAGGTGATTCGGAGCCTCCTCCTATAACTACGCCTCTTCTCAACTATAGGATAGTCTAGGTAGCTATCAGAAGTTTGCCCACCTTCGAGCATCGCTCTTTGATTATATTGCTAGAATGTCCAGCGCTTTCTTCCACAGCACTTCCTGACCTAAGTAAGCTCTAACTCTTGAAAATCGCGTACTTTTGATCCTCGTATTAATCTTTATTCTCTACTGGACAAAACCATAGCTGTTCTGCTCGTGAAACTCTCATCTGCTCGAACCACAATACGTATGGACACCGCGAGCTTACGAGACAAATGATTCTTTGCTGGTAGCTTCTAGAGACTTTGAGGCATGTATCTTGTTGTTTTGAGTGTCGTAGACTGTCTCTGCACTTGACATATCCTCGCCAGAAAAAACGGTCTCCGTATGCTGTGCCGTCTTCACGCTCTTCCTATTCTTCTTCGGCAAAACTACTTCTCATTGTGGACGATAGATAAGAAAAATGTGATCAAATCAGAAGAGTATGCCGATTCGATTCTATATGCAAAATTGTATAAAATATTCTCCAAAGAATTTCTTTGAAGTCAAAAAGTTGTAGCCAAAATTCTGCCGCACTCCTGCAATAGCCTCAGGTGAGAAGGGAAGGGTGTGGTGCAGAAGGATCGAAATTGTCGCGTTGCGGCGAGAGGAACGCCGCGTGCGAAGGTATGTAGCAGAATGTGGTAGCAGGTACGAAACACAGGAAGAAAAGAACTGGCAGTAGAATCATGCCTAAAATAATAATTGCATATCGGTTGAGCTGTATAAAGAACGCTAGAACTGTAATAACGAGGGGTTAATAGCCCGCGACTTCCGCGGACTTCCGCGTGCGGCGAATTGGTTACCCAAAACCGTTCCTCCTGCCCGTCTCCCAGTAGAGAATAGTACTTCTCCTCAATGTTAAAATGAAAAGTTCCATTCAGATAATTGGGAGAATTTTGACTACCTCTCAAGAATTAAATTTTTCACTGTTCATTTTCACGTTCTTGTCTATTTGTGTCACTGAACTGGGACGAGTTCTCAGGAAGAAACAACGCTGCCCTATTAATGCGATATTCTAGCTTCGATGTGGAAAACAAGCACGACAGAATTACGGCTGAAAATTTGGTACTTGCGTTTAAGATGCTGATATCCATCTATATAAGTGGTCGGCCGTGGCAGAACGGAGTGAGTCTCAAAGTCACGAGTTTTCAGCATGGTTCGATAAATATAAACTGAATAATTTCAGTTCCCGAAATTTTCTCGTCGCAGTCACATGGTTTATAATATTCCACTAACACATCAGAAAAGGCATTTTCTCACGACTTTGTATGAGGTATGCCGAAAAGGCACGTGCCAGAAATTTTGCTCACTCTCTTCGCAGCCTTAACAGCGACCTCGAAGGCATATAGTTTGAAGCGTTGGCAATTTTTTGACTCAAGTACGGAAGAGAAAATCAGGTCAGACTCAACTGCTCAGGAAAGTAATGCAATAGAGTATTGAAGGCGGTGGGCACAAAAAATCGCTTAGCACAGGTGAAACAAGCAGCATTCACAAAAGTGCAAGGCTCTATTTTGCCAGTTTAAACAACGACAGAAAACTGATCGCACACTAGCCTCACACGGCGGGCTGCTGAAATAGTGACATTTCTAATAGTGAGTAAGCGCTCGAAGCTTGCGTGCCTTCCATCTCCCTAGCAGGGGGGACGTGCGATTAGTGCGATTTTGGGCGCGCGCGGCAAATTGCGCGGCGAAATCCGCGATGATTCAAGCAACTCTGGCGCCTATTATTGGGGCACGAACTTGAAGTAGAGTAGTTCAGTAGGGTCGGACAATCCTACTAACCTACTTTACTTCATATTTTGGCCCCTATGACAAACGCTACAGTCGTCCGAATCGCACTGGATTTCGCCGCCAACTTGCCGCGTGCACCCAGAATCGCACGAATCGCAACACACCCCCCTAGCAGTTGTTTTGGCAAATTCGCCTAGAAGAGCTCTATTGTTGATCGGTCGTTCACTTATGATCAGTGCTTAAGTCAATTACGAAATCGACTATCACTGTGGCTCTGAACGAAGGACGAGTTACGGTAAATTCAAGCATGACCAATTTTTTGTTGCATGCCTTCGCAAACACTGTAATTTTGCGATTACGATTGGAAAGCAACCTAGCATCACGAGAAGAGTAGTTTGTGATCAGAAATAACCAATTGTTTGTTTTGAAAAGTGCTTTGGTGAATCAACTGTGCCCTACCACTTCGTCACTGGAAGTTAGCTCGTGATCAACTCGTGATTTAAAAGGTCTGAAATCATAGAAATAAGAATCAAGGGAAGAACAAAGAATAAAATGAATCAGCAATACTGCAAGTTTCGCTACAGGCGTCTTTACACATAGGCAGGGTGGTCGATGATAAAATTTTTTGATCACTAACCCTTCTATTCAATCGCTCACCTCAGTTTGAATGGGTTCCCGTATGACCACCTTTATCGTTACCATTCTACAGTCTGCTGCTGATAGTGTGCTGTGGTATTAGCAGGCTGCTGTAAATCATCTCTTTTTACAAAAATCTCCATGCCATGTACTACGCTAACAGGAACAGCATGAAAATAACTAGATTCTCCAAACGGTTCTT